AAAAAAAAAAAAAAAAAAAAAAAAAAAAAGCATTGATTGAATTTTTTATTTAACTAATTAAATGTGTTAGCAAATTATCAGTAATTTCATTCATTTAATAAGAATTTATTTGTAAGAAAATGAATCGATTATATTGAAAGAAATTATTGTTGAATTATTCAAATTAAATAAGTAAACGAAGATCAATTATATTAAAAAGAAAATTAGAAATAAAATTATGAAAAGAAGAGAATTCATACTTGTTTTGAGCATATGCTTCTACGGCCATACAAATGGAGAGCTTACGCTTCAAAATGGACGGATTTCGTCCTTATGGACATACACAAACATTCGGGCGATTCATTTGGCCGACAGAGACCAGAACGACAATTGTATTCATAGAAAAACAATCACTTTCTAAGACATCATTGTTCCACACGAGTTGTCTTCATCCGCCCCACCCAAACGTACTCACTCCGATGCAGCCTGCAACGAAACGACCCCGGATGCCCCGTTGGCGAGCACAAGCACCGCATGTTCGCCGACCCTCCGCCACTGCCGCTACTCCCAGCCGCCGACGCTGCCTGCAAGAGGACCCAATTGCTTTGCACAGCCAAAAGCTCCCTCCGGCTTACCAGCCAAGGCCGTAAATTATGTGGGTAACACATTTTTTCTTTTTTTCTTTTTTTCTTTTGTCCCTTTTAATCTTGGTTTTGGTATTTGGTTTATGATGGGTTGTCTTGCGGGGAGTGAAGAGAAAAGAATCTGTGGAATTGGAGTTTTTATATAAAGAGAAAAAGAAAGAGAAGCAAAGGTGTTCATCCACCTCTCATCATAAACCAATTTATTAAATTAATGACGACATTATGAGTTTATAACTAAGAAACACTATTTTCATCGGTACTAACACCTTTCGAAAATGTTAAAAACAAAGTCATGAAAACTTGTACTCAAATTAAATTGGGCCAAATGTCTCTTATTAGGGGAATCTAATTCTCCTTCCTCTATGAAACTTTTTCTTTCCTTTCTTTCATGCAAAGCAAAAGGAATCGTTGGATAATAAAGAGAGAAAATATAACATAATTGAGGGTGGGAGTACCGAACCTTGCCACTTCAGGGGTTCCATGGCAAACCCAAAGCTCTCTTCTGGTATCCAAAATTTAGTGCATAACACAAGTTGGGCGTGGAATTGTACTGAGTGGTTTCCTACTCACATTCTTTAACCAAATGTGTGGTTTGTTGTTTTGCATGAAACAAATGTGTTGTCGGAATCTTGAATTCATCCACAAAGAACCACTCCACTTTATTTACATCACTTTATTCAGGATTTCTCGTCCTCATTTCTTAAACATGTCTAATAAGAACTAAGATTAGATGATCTTAATAATTAATTAATTAACCCATCATAAAAGTTTGACCCATTGGATATAAGAATAATTGAAAATTTGGGTGTCACATGGAAGATGGTTGATAATTCAAGAAATCCCCACCCTCCCATTCACATGTGGATGCATTGCAGCGTATGGAAATGGATCCACAAAATCCGGACTTCATTTGAACTTATAAGTCCCTTGATATTGCCAAACTCGATCATCTGGCAGCTTTGATGATGGGAAAGAAGAGAAGCAAAGAAACCATCAGATTGGGGCGATGGAGAAGCGGGAACCAACCCAATCTGTGGAAACTGTTATGGAGGAAACTGAGAAGAGAAAAGAGGAATAAAACGACGACGTACTCCTCAGGGAACTTCATTGCTTATGATCCTTTCTCTTATTCACAGAATTTCGACCAAGGCAACGCTGCCGAAGAGCCCGATATTCTTTGCCGCTCCTTCTCCGCCCGCTTTGCCCTCGCCGATGCCGATGCTGCTTCCCGCATCTTTCCCGACAACCAGGCTCGACTCCTTTGAAGTCTTAGTCATTTTTAACTGCCTAATATGATATTGTCCACTTTAAGCATAATAAGCTCTCATAGTTTTGCCGAGGGCTTACCGAGAAGACCTCACATCAATAAACTCATGATCATTTGGGAGGGACTTCCATCATCTAACAGTAATTTCGTAATAGTTGACTTTTTTTTCCTCAGTTAATAATTACAACCATTAAATTTATACTTATTAATATTACTCTAAGTTACCTAAGTTACTGGCCATAACAATTAACAATATGTTGAGTTTACTTCTTGACTTAAACCTTCTTTAATTGTATTAATAATCTATTATCTATAAACCATACAAGTTGACTACTCTTTTTATGATCCTTATAGATTATTGTCTTAATTGATTAAAAATTAAAATAAGGAATATCAACCTTTACAAATAAAATAAATTACGAAAGTTGATATAAACGTCACAATAATTTTAACTCCTTATCTTTTTGTAGAAATAATTGTTTAGAAGAAAAAAAAACTTGATGAAAGGTACAATCAACCTACCCATTAATTTTAGTTTGAATTTGAAACTCAATTTATTGAATCATTTTTGGTAAGCCCCAACTCAAATAAATTTTAGCATTTAAATAGGTTGAAGTTAACATGTCTTTAACAAGATTTTGAAACATGTCATTCATTAATAATGTTGTATTGAAATGAAAAACATTACTACATATAAAAAGTAAGAGAGATCAAATTGAAGAAACTACAACCCACAACCAATATAACATATCATAAAATATTTAATCGCAAACATTAGGTTAAGATAAATGATTTTAAACATAAATGTGGCGTGAGGCATGAATTTAATGAGAAAAAAGTGAATAATTTATGGTATTGGCTTAATATTTACTTTCTGACTTTTTAGCACAGCTAAATATCACAGCAATTGAACTTCAAGAAAGAAAAAACCACGTTTGTTTTTAATACTTCCAAAATGTACAATGCGCACACATTCAAGACAAGACCGGCTGCTGGACGTATTAAATACTGGAAAACCATACACGTGTCGATATCTAATAGGGCCGACACAAAGGAATAATAATTCTAATTTACTCTTAAAAATTATAAAAAATATATTTTGATTTATTAATAATAATTTTTCAATTTGTTCATGCTAAAACTGATACATTCCAGCTTTTGGATTGAACTTGCCTTTAAATTTGTTACATTTTCTAACCGTTTATTTGAAACTGATGTCCCTATATTTGTATATTTGTTCACATCGATACTCCCATAAAACTATTTTTTTTATTTATAATTTATATTAAACAAAATTAGATGCAATTAAAAGATTATCTTATATTAAATTAATAAAGTAATTAATTTGTTTTCAACGCTGATTACAAATAAAAAAAAAAATGAAATGAACACAATTAATGTTATTAGTTAAGGAAAGCAATATTTAAATGGGACAAATATTTGTGAAAAAAGAAAAAAGTTTGGAGATTGAAATTAAGTTCGTGAAGGTGGAGCCAGAGGGGAGGAGGGTAGAAATGTTGTACATTTTTGGTAGCGAAGCAGATTTTGCGGATATAAACGGTCTTCGGTTTTCCCCCTAAGAAACGCATAAAATTCATCGACAATTCTTATCTTTTCCCGCTCACAAAAACACACACACAATCAGATATCATACAGGGAAATGGAAAATCAATCCAATGGAAAATCCGACTCCCATCTCAACATACCCAAAATCAAGTTCACCAAGCTCTTCATCAATGGACAATTTGTTGACTCTGTTTCAGGTATCTCTCCCTCTCTCTCTTTCTTTTCCTTCACCGGAGAACAAACCCACTCAGACGGAAAACTCCGATGCCTCTCAACTCATGATTTTCTTTTCAAATGAACAGGAAAAACATTCGAGACGTTCGATCCAAGAACTGGTGAGGTTATCACCACGGTTGCCGCTGGTGAGAAAGAAGATGTGGATCTGGCCGTGAAAGCAGCCCGTGAAGCCTTCGATCACGGCCCTTGGCCCCGCATGTCTGGTGCCGTAAGTATTTCTATTTACAGCAAGTTTGGGTTTTTCTTGAGATGCAGCTCAGATTACAGTTTCGATTTATATACTTTGTATCTATATTCCAATTTTTAAGATGGAAGTAATAATAATAATAATAATAATAAAAGTTATCGCCATTACAAGCTTATGACAGAGACAGCTTGTACCAGTCAAGAGGGAAAGTGTTGTTTATGATATGCAGAGATATGCATGTGCTCTTTATTTATAAAAAGAAGGCCACAATTATAATAATTCAAAAAACAGAAGAAAGGGAAAAAGAAATATAAATGTTTTGGATTTTTTCTGTGATTCCGTGCAGGACAGGGGACGAATAATGATGAAACTGGGGGACTTAATAGATGAACACGTGGAGGAACTCGCAGCATTGGATTCCCTGGACGGCGGAAAATTGTTTCAGATGGGGAAGATCGTCGACATACCGTCGGCTGCTCATATGCTACGGTATTACGCCGGTGCCGCGGATAAAATCCACGGGGAGGTACTGAAAATGGCAAGGCCGTTTCACGGCTACACTTTAATGGAGCCCATGGGAGTGGTGGGCCACATCATACCCTGGAACTTTCCGACCACCATGTTTTTCCTGAAAGTGAGCCCCGCCTTGGCCGCCGGCTGCACCATGCTCGTGAAACCTGCCGAGCAAACGCCGCTCTCCGCCCTCTTCTACGCCCATCTCGCCAAATTGGTGTTTCCCAATCTTCGCGGAATAATTAAATCATTTCAAATATACAAAAACTACTTTTTGGATT